CGAAACTCGCCGGAAGTGGTGAGAAATCACGAGAAACGACCGGCCCAACTGGCTGATCGAGTGCCGTTCCTTTTTCCCCCGATCGTAATCACCGCTGGACGCGATTGCGCAAAAAGTTTTAGGAATTTCTTCCCTGCTAATTTCCTGTGCGTACCGGAAGGGCCGGGAGATTCTTACAAAAATAGATTAAAGGGTAGGGTATATCGCGTGTTTCCTGCGAGGTATTTTCATTTACAATTGGTTCATGAATAATTGAAATTGTAAATCGCAGTGAGTAACCACGGTGTGAAGTTCGGCGAAACGCGCGAAAGGGGAATCGTAAGAAGCTTGAAGAGTTATCGTGTTAATTATTAACAAAGTGTGCCGCGTATTGCCATTTTCATCGTAATAGAGCTTATTGTGCCACGCGACGAGAGATGCGTTAGGCGATAGATATTTTCGCGCTCATCCCTCTCTCCCGAACCCGATGCCTTCTCGTAGCGGCGGAATAAGAAGAATAGGCAATTAAAGTTGCACAATAAAGGCTAATCATAAGAATTACTCGGTCGACGATGGATCGCGGAACCAGCCATAGCGGGATAACGTAACGTAACGCAAATTAAGTGGCATAGAACGACCCTTTCTCCTCGGTTTCGACTTCCTCTTTTCGCGGTCTCTCGCATCTCACCGGCAGATTCCCGTTGCGGGATCCTCTCTCCTCCCTCGACGATTTCGTGAGGATCCTTACTTTTCTAACGGCATCCTGGACACGGGAAGCAAATCGAAACTACTGGTAGTCCTCGCGAAATAATTACATTAAGTCCCGTTTAATGAGTCCGACGCGTTCACTATCAGAGTTCAATGACCTAGAACGACGAGAAAAGAAAGACGCGTTCGTTTGTTGCTGAATTGAAACGAATTAAAATCTTGCAAAATAGAAAAGCAAGATCTCCTGCTTCCTTTAATTCACGATTTTCCACGCTCGGTTCTCGACACACACCAATCCGGTTATTCCTCCTTTCCTATGTTACTCTATTCCGGCCAGCCTGAGAAACCATCGAAACGGATGCCATTATATCGATCCGATTAATTATGGGAACGAATTACGTGTATGAGCTTGCAGACTGTCTGGTAACATTACAATCGATTCCCCTTCCGACTTCTCTTCCCACGAATTGATTTGCCCTCAGCTGATAAACAAAAAAAAAGAAAATTCGCTATATAAAACGCAAGATAGATTTTAAATTACTCTGGCTACAACAGTGGGACTTATTAAATATTGAGCTAAAAGTCGAAGAAGAAGTCGACGAGCATAGGGCCCGAGGGAAAATTCAACGAAATTATGGGCAACAGCATAATTAAGCGATTAACCCGTGATGACCCGCGTGGAAAGGCGCGACCTCCTCTCGCGGCTCCATTTACCAGCTTTCCACGCCCGCGCGCGAACCCCGAGGAGTTCTTAAAGAATCGTCGGAGCCGCACCGTGGAATAACTTCGCACGACCCACGAGGGAATCGTATACGCCCGTGGCCAACGATGGATGGACGGATAGACAGATAAATAGATACTTTATTAGAGGCTGGAAGAACCGTAAGATGCTAAGCCTCGTTGCACCGTCCTCGTAGAGGAGGGATAAAGGAATGAATGTTCGAAATTGAAGGTGCACGAGGAACGAGCGTGACAGATGAATGCGTAGATAAACGAGCTGATTTTATCCGGGACGAAAGCGGCGAAGAACCTTCTGCATACTCAACGGACACCTTGAGCGGTGCCGTGGACAGCGAAGGACTTCCTGCGATTCAGAAGCGTTTAATTGGAGATCCATCTGTACACCGTGTTACCATGTGTCACGCCAGATCTTGCACCAGACATCTTTCTTATTTATACATACTGGAATTCATTCTGGACACTTTGAATAAAAATATTCTTTATTTAATATTCTGCTAAGCTAAATTGGTACCGTCATACTTTTAGTGTCCAGAATTAATTCCACTAGTGTAATAGGTAATAAATAAACGTTCTTTCTAGATTTACTGCTTCCTTTTATCCCGAATATTCGTTTCGTGATACAGAACGGAAGTAGCTGTACAAAACTTTCAAGAATTCCAGCGATGCGCGATCGAGCAAACGCGTGTAGGTAAAATAGAAGAGGAAATCTTTGTAAAAGTATGATCGCTGGTGGAAAATACGGGTACGCTTGGGAAGCGGTTAGCAACGCATAAAAGACTGCTGTTAGACAGGGTAGGAAAAGGCTGATTTGCATACTGCCACGTGGTCGCAGCAGGCCACTTTGTACGTATGCAAGTTAGATCAGCGAGCATAAAACGCTACAGTTAGGCACTTAGACTGACCAGCGGCGCTGATTTCTGTTGATTGTTTTCCACGGTTCTCTTCATGGTCGGTGACCACGTTGTCGGCGGACAAACCTGTCTCGTAGTCGCGTGGTTGTTTGTTCTTAATCACGAACACGTAGCGATGTCGTGTTCTCTACTGATTGCTCGGACGACTTGGACGACTAGCTTCCGAAACAGAAGCTGTTATTTCTTTGTTCTTAGGACGCGTTTAGAACTCGAAAAGCTGTACAACGCGTTTTCAACATCGCGTCGTTCGTCTCGTTGCGATCGTTTGTCAAACGATCGACCATTCCGCGCGTACGTCGAACACCTTCGTCGATGGAAAGTCACGCGAAACGATTTAAGCTCGATACGTCTTTTATTAACGGCTCGAATATCCTCCGGCTAAAACGCCTATTAAAGAGGAGGATCGTGCCAATAAAGAACAATTACGAAAGGGCGAGGAACTGTGGAACGCGAGATCACGAGGGGAGATCGAGACGCGTTTCGAAGAGGATCGGGCAAAGAAAACCTGGAAGAGAATGCAAGGTTAAATCCGCGAAATTTTCCCCGTTTACTCTTCCTCGGGATCTACTGAAACGTTGCGTGTGCGTAACGACCGCCATTACGGAGAACCACAACAATTTTCTGTGCGCGCCTTTCGTAGAAGGGAAAAAAGGATCACCGTTCTGTGGTACAAGCGTAACAAGTCTACGATAGCGTTCGTAGAACTTTAAACGAAACGTTTTACCTTTGAAGCTCGCTTAATTTTCAAGCATCGACGATGAAAGTTGAATTTAACCCAACGCGATCGACGTTGAATTTCAACATCGACTGAAGGAGCAATTTCACGCGATTTCGGTCGTTTACTCGCATTCCAACGAACGATCCCACCGATCTCTTCTTTCAAAGTTCCTTTGGCGTTCGAGTGGATAACAGTTTCATGGATCAACGACTGTCGGCAAGGAACGTTACGTTTACGGTGCAGTTACGATATCCCCGTCGATTTTCCATGGTAAAAATATCGGTCGAAGTTGGCCGATCTTTCCTTCGCGAAATACCGCGAAATTCTATAGGCAAAGCGACACGAATACCTGATACCGATACGTTTCACTTAGCTCCTTTCTTCGTTGATCGTCTTCGGATGGTTGTTTCGAGCGGTAATGTGTGTTTATTTAGTGGTCGATTTATCCGAATGGAAATTACGAGAGGTTGCGTGCGCGGGCACGTACGCGTCGTTACGCTTCCATCGCTCTTTCTCCGCTTAACGGCCTTGTTAGCAACGAACCAACGCTACTGGAACAACTGTATTTGCCCAAAGCTGGCCATTCGACTATGCCTGGAATGTCGAGGATCGATCCCGAGGAGGATACACGCGAGATAAAGCCGCGGTATCTTCTGGCTAGAGCCGTGCTAGATTTTCCGGAATCTGACGATGGTTTGCGTTCAACGGGTAATTCTTCGAGATTTATTTATATTTCATTTTTTTCCTTTCTTCTAACGGTTTTCAACTTTCTAATCTCGCTGAGTTTTAATTGTTTCAATCGACGTTACACGAATATACGTATAATTTAACTTAACAACCGCAACTATAACGTCGTTTCGTAAAAGGCGTAACTTCTCGAAGAGGAATTCACAGGAAAACGCGCGGCTTCGGATGATAAAGTATCGAGGCGAGTCAAATCGTCTTATTAGCGGTCGCAGCAGCGGGGTCTAGGAAAGCGAATCGCAAAAAGCACGGTCTTCCGATCGTCGATCGCGTAGCGAGACGTTCTTCTCGCGTTCCGCCGCGGCGATCGGTGCTCAAGTTCGCCATCCGCGGTTTCCGCCATTCGACGAGCCGAATTAATCTTGCTTATTGCCTAGCTTGACCCCCTGCCACCCAAGCAACCATCGTTCGAACGTTCCTCGTACTTCCTGCTAGCCTGATGCATCCTGCGATCTTCGCTGATCGATCCTCGAAAGACCCCTTCATCCGCTCCATCTTCGTTCCGATGCTTTTTGCGCGCGGAAAACAACGTGACGCGGATGTTGCCGGGCAAACCGGACGATGTTCATTTTATTTATTTATCCAAGAGTGTACATACAGCGCGAACAGGATACATTTACACCGTTGAGCGGAAAAATAATTTGCAGACATTTGTAATCAAATTTTCTTTTTTTTTAACCATCTGGCCTTTTCATCGATTTCTTTGGACATTATTTTTGTAAAAGGAAACGAGGACAACCCCGTTCTCTTGATTACTGGTGAAATTCTTGCGAGTGGTCAGTTCACAGGGACGCGTGAATAGCTCGATGTCTCGAGCACGTTTAACGCGATCGCGCCTAGAAGCGTGCTCGAGGAAAGGAGTAACGACGTCAGAGTGAAGAGAGAAGGAGAAAAAACGGTAAAATGTCACTGTTCCCTAATTACGCGAAGTAACTAGCCTCTACCTTGACTACGTAGAGAAAGAGAGATAAGGTAGAGAAAGAGGGGGGGATAGAAAGAGAAAGAGAGGCGCGGAAACATCGGGTAGCATCGAAGAAGAGCGAGATCCCCCTCGCGTGGAGGCAGACGGTACCGCTAGATCTAGCTGGCCAATCGCCTGCCTCTTTTACACGAAGGCGACCAGTAAGATGGAAGGTTTAAACGGCAAGTAAACGCGACCACCACCCAACCCAGCGCGGTTTATAAAGTGAGCTGGATGCGCCGCCTCGAAGACAGAGCCGTGCCGACAGCCTAACCATCAGGAACGTTGATTTTTTTTTTTTTCTCCCCCCGTTCACGACGTCCCGACCCAAGTGTTTCGTCGCGTGTGATCGACCGGTGCACGTCTCTCGTTTCCTATTTTCCACCGATCTCATTTTCTTTCCCCTTTCTTTCCTTACCGGTTTATCACTCTGCTCGATTTACGGTTCGCGAAGTTTCACACGAAAGTTCGAACGGGGTAGCAGTGATAAGCGAGTGATTAGAGAGCTGGTGAACCGACCAACCCGGAAGCTGAGTTCGATATCAAGTGGATACACGGACAAGGTACGTGCCGGGTTCAGTGTTTGTACCATTCTCTACGTAGTTGGTGCGCGATGGTTCAAGATGATTGAAAGTCAGACGATGGATCGAGGATTCTCGCGGATATAAAGGACTTTTCAAGATTTCTCGTGAGTTATACAGGATCGTTCCGAATTTCCTCGAGGTCGTATCGGTAAATGAAAGTTCGAAGTTAGAAAATTGAAAAAGGAGGAAACTAATGATAGCAGTAAAGATTCTTCGATAAAGTTAGGTCGAGCTGCGAGCGATGATCGATCGGGTGGGAGAGTAAAGGTTCCAAACGATCGGAGCAATGTCTCGTGGCCAGCATTCCCGCGGTGAGAGTCTAAGTCTAGTTGCTTCAAAGTCAGGGCCGTAGCCAGGTTGAGCAACGCGTAAAACCGAAACGTTCAAATTGCCAGGCGAGAAACTATCGAGGATCATTTTTAGTCGTTCGTCGTTCGCGTTCGTATTCGAGATACGTGACCGATTTCGTGTTCCTCCGTGACGCACACCGAATTTTTATGCTGCTGGTACCACGTTTCGATTGTCGTCCGTCGACCCTCTGAATAGAACGCAGCACGGCAATCGCGTAAACTTACCTGTTTGAATAACTTCCAAATTTTTAATTAAATATTTGTTTGAAACGTTGTAAGTTCGCTACGATATCATACTTTCTTCGTACCTCTAAAGATACTTTATTATTTATTCTTGCAACAGAGTATTCAAGTTGTAGAGAGTTAAAAAGGGAAGCTGGATGTGTGGTGAACAGGTGGTCGGACTGCTTCGGCTTAACAGCAGAGCTTTTACGTCTTATGCCGGTGAGTTCAATGCCAGAGAAGCGTAACGCCTTCCGATACTCGACGCCATACCGCGTCGTTATTTCGCTACTACCTTACTACGAATCATTGACTCGAGGAAGTGCTTACATTTTAATACCACTGTCGATTATTCCTTGCAACAACGCGACTCGATGCATCGGTGTACTATTAACTTTCCAACTTTTTTTCTACTTATCGAATGATTTTATGGTCTTTCGAAGTATTTCCAGCGGTCGTTTAAACTTTATAGGATCTATAATCGTGGCAAGTTCCTTACTCAAACGACTAGCGTTTTACTTTGATCGGTTCTCATAGAAAATCTCACTTCGTGTCCTCTGATTTTCCCATCGAATACGAGTCAGATCGAGTCGCGGTTGATGTAAAGAAGAAGAGAACTCGCCACGCAAACTCACCACGCCGTGACGAGCCTCTTCTTCTTCTTCATCCACCATCATCATCCTCATCATCATCAACGCGATCGTCGCCGTCATCTTCACTACGCTTCCCTTCGAACAGCTCTGCTTTTTTACCTTTATCGCGTTACCATCATAAACCATTGGTGCACGGTTGAACGAACTTTGCTAACATTCATTGAAAATCCCTGTCGTCATTCGTCGATCGCGCTTGTAGGATGAGAAGGAGATTCGATATCAGGGCGTTAATTAAATTTCAATACTGCGCCGTGGGGTGGAGGAGATCGGGTGTTGGATCTTAATAGACTCGCTCGCATCGATCTCGATTACACTCAGTCTGAAATACGACGTAATCGAATAATCAAGAAAAACGAATCATTTTGATTTTGCCCGTGACGAGAAATCATTGTGTCTCGTCGGTTAAACGAGCAAAAAGTTATCCGTCTCTTTGCCGAAGACGGTGCACCGCGTCGCGTCGATGGTTCTCCAGACCGAAGAGGAAAGTCGCAGAGTACAAAAGGTCCTCGAAGCAAGCAAATCGAACCTTTTTCATTTCGTCGACGATTTACCATTCGCGTTTGCCACCATTTCTCCCCCTCTTCTCTTTGTTTTCTCTCTTTTTCTTAGCCACGACCTGCCCCACTATCTCGCGTTCAGCCGATGGAGGATCTTCCAGGCGCCGCCTGGACGTTGACCCCGAGGCTGCTTACGGCCCTGACCAACACTCGCTCGACTTCTTCCATCTCACCGACTGCTCATTCCGACAGACTAGTCATCGCCTCTATTAATCAGAAACTCAACAAAGTTTCAGCACCGAACACCTTCGGAGACGTATCTAATTGTTTACTAGGCACCGATTGAATCGGTGTCTGAATTTCGTGAAAAATTCTTTGGAACATTCAGTAATTAAAATTAGAAGGATTCTTATCGCGAGGCTTGTTAGATCGTTGCCCGACCCGACTGCCCTTTGAAATTTTATCCGTCGAGAATCTTTCTCGTTAATTAACGTTTCTTCATCCTCCTCGGCTATTTCTCGCCTCGCGTTAATCTCCTATCAAGCTCGAGATATTTTTCAAGAAAACTCGTCTCTTCGCATCAACCACGCTCTGCTCGTAAATCTGTGGGAGATTTGAACAACTCGTAACGCGACGGTTCCAGCGGATGGAACGGTCGGATCGTCGAACTTTGGACAAGCATCATCGGAGGAAACTTCCTTCGTCAGCATCATTTCGAAACAGTGATTCTGTCCGCTGTTCACGGTGCATTCAGCGAAAATATACGCGAACGGCACAACGGATGTCGCGTTCATAAGTGACACGCATGGAATCTCGTAATGAACGGCTGTTTTGCGAGCATTAAACGAATTCTCATTTGCGAACAATGAAGATGGAAGATGGCAAGAAAATTACATCGATTTATGCGTGTCGAGCCGGGTCTCGGTGTTTTTTCCATTCTAGAATCGTTGAAACGACGCGACGCGAGGCGACGCGGCGATTGTTCGACCGCGAACACTGACACGTTCACGGAAGAGGAGAACCCTCGCGAAAAGCATTTAACGTGTCTCATTATGCCTAACAATATCCTCGAACGCCTTCTCTACCTATTATCTCTTCCGCCCTTAATCAGTAACGCTCAATTTCTAACTCGGTAATTTACTCGGCGCGTGTTCACAGCGCGCTTGGAAAGCAAGAGGAAAGTGAAAAGGAAACCGTACCGATTACGCGAACGAAACGCGATCAGTTTTCGAAAACAAACTAGATTACTTATGTTGCGTTCTATGGAAAATATATGATTAACTTCTTTTGTTCTCCTCGATGCGGAAAGCAATTATTAGCAATTGTCGACGGTACCTGAAAAGAAAGGAAAACGTAGGGAAAGGTGAGGTGACCGGATCGAATAAGAAGGCGCGTAAAGGCGAACGAACTCGAGGAAAGAAAGGTGAAACGGGACGGAAGGAGACAGCAGTTCATTATCGAACACTTAGCACGTTTTAAATCTACTTCCTGGCTGTGCTACACAGCGGATAACCCTTTGAGTAATGAATTTCATTTCATGATTGTTCGCGGCGAGGTTTTCTTTTTAACGCAATACGGACACTGCAGTGATCACCGTTAAAGGTTAAAGGGGATTCGATCTTGATACGTTGACGCAATCATACGGTCACGAATCGGCCTCGAGTTGGAAAGCAAAGGACGCGAAATTGACCTGGATCCTCGTCCTAGCAGATGAGATACCCAGATTGGTACCGCTTGCAAATTGATCGATTAACGGTACACCGATCGACAAACGTCCACTTTGATCGTACTCGTGCTCCAGATACAGGATGACAAACACGAATGAAGGCCGCGAAAGCTCACTGTATCGAATTCTTGTATATACGGAATCTAGCTGTGCAACAGTTATGCCAACGGTATAACAAGAACAAATTAACTTCTGAAATTTGAATAACGATAACGCGGTGACACAGTTTGTTCAGTCACGGATTCTCTATTGGAATTAGGCTAGGTTACAAGATTTCCGGTGCTCGTTCTGGCGGTTTTAGCCACCCTCGCCGGTCACTTTTTCGTAGCCCAAATATGCGAACGGAACGGTTCTACCGGTCTGTGATCCGGTTCTTAGCCCGTCCTTATATTTCGCCGGCCAACTAACCGCTCTACTGCACTAAAAACACACTTCGTCCCGTGTGCTTATGTACAATCGAGAGATGGAAGGAACATTAGCACAAAGGGAGCACTTGTCCCTACGTTTGATCCTCGCGTTCAAAGTTCGCCGCATCATCTCGTATCATCTCGTTTTGTCGCGAAGTCTCATTTTTCTTCTTTGTCAGGCGACGCGATTAGTGTGTGATCGCATCGGCCAATAGCGCGCGACGATCTACAACGCATGCGCGTATCGTACCCGCATTCCTTTCCCTAATGTTCTTTCCATCTCTCGACAGTACCTACCTTGCTGCACGTGTCTCTTCGCTTTTCACCATTATCCTGTTTCGATTATCCCGAATCGATTCGATTCGTCTCTCTGGAAGGTCGAGAACGTTTTAAGACCATTTGCGGCAATCCGTTAGAAGGCAGTCGAAAGAAACACCGGAAAGAAAAAATCCGGTTCCTGTTCAGCGAACTCCTCTTAACTTGTGTATCGCGAAGGGCGATGACTAATGGACTGTAGGCGACATACTCTGGATAATCGTTTCTGGGGCACGCGTGAAAGACCACTAAACGCGTATAGACGGATTTTACCGTAATATGGCAAATATATAGGTGCTCGAACGCGTTCCATTTTCACACCCACGTGGCTTGTAAGCGGTCGTTATCGCGAGCCACGACGCGCTAATCTCGCAAAAACGCGGTTACCGTTTGTCGGCACGGATGCACGGGCCGAAGAATATCGGCTTGAATCGCGCCTTCCACTTCGTTCCTTTCCGTTACTCCTCTCTCCTGGTTCCACCGTTCATGAACCATGATACCTGATACACGGATAAACCGAATACGGAACAATTCTGTCGTTCGATCTGCACGACTTTTCCGGGATCGTGGATCACGATGCACCAGAGCTCGATGACGAATTGCATTTAGGTTTAGAAAGAAGAGAGGCTTGGTTCAAGAGAATTGTACCGTTTGTTCATTTTTTTCCATACAAAGCTGTGTTATTTTGTGGGGGTTGAGCGGAGCTTGCGGTTCTTAGTGCCTGGGCCTTTTTCCTGTGATGGCCGCAAGGTGTCGCGCGTGTAGCTCCATCCTTTCTCGCAAGCGGTCCATAGCGAGTGGACCTACAGAACCCAGGCGTCTAGGGCAAGGACCGTCCATGTCAGCCCCAGTGACGCCATCATTTTTCCGTTGACATCCTACTATTTATTTATTTACTTTATTTTAATAAACGGGACAAGTCCTATTAGTGTACATAAACAAATTTTACAAAAGCAGGTAACGTAAAAGAAAATATTATCAATATTTTCAATAAAGGAAGTTACGTTACTTGTAAAAAAATCTAAGTGCATACAAAAGGAGTTTGCTATTCAACACATGCGATTTACCGGATTTTATGCCATAGAGTCACCATTTGTTCTAATCTAACTTGTAGGTAACAATATTAGTACGACGGGCTGTGAAACGCTTTAAAGCGATAGTAAATAAAAGCGTTAGCCAGTCGTAGCCCCTTAAAGAAAGCCAAATAAGGGCGTCATGGTAGTCAAAGTATTATGTACCGTTTAAAGATCGACAAGAACGCGTAACGATCGTGAAATCGAGTCGGGCAGAGTAAGCATAACGATATATATAAATTTCCTTGCCAGTTTCTGCGCTTTCATGGTATGTTAAGTAGCCACGACGACGGTCCCATAATAGGCCCCGTAAACGGATGCGAAAGGCAGGGGAGAGAAAAGCAAACAGGGACACGCGACTGCAACCATCCAGTGAGAATATTGGTTCAGCAGTTTGTGGACCGCGCAACGGTAACCGCTTCGCTCTTCTCTCATGCTTGCGTTCGAACACCGTTACACTTATGAGCATGGCCACCATAAAACGCTACGACCTTAGTTATCGGTATACTCGCGAGGCCACGGCCAAGGAACGACGCCCACCGGTGCACGTTGCACGATGCACTTTTATTTCCTCGACTCCGCTCCATTCCACTTGGCTCGACTCCGCTCGTACCGGTTTCCCGTTAACCGTCGTATTTCCGTGCGGATCTCGCCTCTCCCTCGATTTTTGAAAATCATTAGTCTCGCTTGGTAGCTCGCTCTCATTATCTGGTCTAGAGATTCGAAGGTTAAAGGCCAGACGAACGATAGCCCGTTAACGGATTACCAACTGTAAACAATTAACGACAATCGGACGATCTCTAGAGGGAAGTAGAAAAATTGAAAAAAGATATTTCTTTTCTTCCTTGAATCAGTTCTAAAGTACGGTGCGGTATCAGGTGTACGCGTCAGTTCCACGAAGAAGACTAATTAACGAGATCGCTTGGTAACTGTATCAATTAGACAAGCTGCGACCGATTGTTCCGTCGGACAGGAATATTTTGCGATTTATAATCGCCGCGGACCGTTACCTTTCTTTTCTCGCGACAAGATTAATCGGGATTGTGCAACAAACGAACGAAACAGATGGATGACGAGATAGAATCCGTCAATTTTAATTGCACGCAATGCAACGTCTAACTGTTTACGCGATAACTGTGGCACAAGGTGAACAATCTTTACCGGGTTTAATGCGATTTTAACAGCAAACCGACGCACCGTTATCGGTCTAGAAGAGTTCCCTGAGAATCGGCTGGCATGGAATTATCGTTCCTCCCCGGATTACACGTTGCACTCTTCTGCTTGCTCGTGTTCATCGTATCCAAGGAGATTCCGTCGAGTTAACTAACGTTTAAGAACGGCTTTCCTCCTTAAAAACTTCCTCGTAATCGTACACTCGTCTTTTCGTCCTTGCTTTTGTAAAACGAAACTTTGCCTGAAAGTATATACCTGCTCAGAAATCAGCCATTTTTTTTATTATTTCGAATAAACGTTTCTATTTTTCTTTCAGGTAATTGGATTACTTTTTTATTAAACACGGTGCCTAAGCTACTTCCTTAGACAACTTTGGTGAGTACCATCTCCCTAAATCTTTTTTTTTATAAACAATCCCATCGGGTGTTCGACCAGCTTCGGCGATCATCGTCTAGAGGCTGTTTATCATCCCCTCTGAAAATCCTCTTTTTTTATCGATCTTATTTTCATTAGGAGCAAAAAAGAGAAGGTTGCGGTCCGCCGACCTCGCAACGTATAATTTAGGACGATCGAATCTGCGGTACACGACCACTAACATGTTCTATCTTTCACGAGCGCAGCGGTTAAAGTTATCGTTCGGATATAATTTTATATGTTTGACTATCGAAACACCGAACTCTCGTTCCAGTCTCGTCCCATTAATATTCAACGAATGGTTAACCCTTTCTGCTCGGTAGCTTCTCGCACCGACATTCTTCTCCGACGAACTTAAAAATAATTGTGAGCCACGTGACTCGTACTTTGACCGAGCGACGGATAAATCGAAGTAAATTGGTCGCGATTAGAAATCGACGTGTAACCGATTGCCAGCTTAACGGTAAATCGCGTAACAAATCGAACGATGGATGAGAAATGGTGAATGAAACGCGGCTCGACTAGTTTGGTAACTCGAATGGATGTCCGATTAAAACCGTTGTTCGGTCAACTTTTGCTCGACCTCATTCCAGTTAACCCTGCACCAGCTGAAAGTCTACCGAAGACCATCGAATACGTGCAACGATGGAGATTTGCTAATTAAAATAACAGCGCTCAGTTTGCTCCTAGTTTTTGCAAATTCGAATGGGTCGATGGCTCCACGAAGGTTATGATTACCAAGATTGGTAATGATTCGTTTGGAAATTACCCGAGGATTATTAGGATAATTTCTTACGGCTACTCGAGGATTGTTTTTATTTTCGACGCGAAATACATGATAGACAGGAGAGAGAGATAGCGATGAGGATCTTGACACAGAGATTGCCTGTCTATCCTTCGAGCTCGACCACCCAGACGAAGCAGTCCATTAACTATGCGATTATTTTAAACGAACGTTTCATTAAAATCCAGTTGTCCCGTTTGTTGGATTGCACGAATTGCTGACACTCAACGAGGACGTAGAAACGAAGGATCGACGATTCCCTATCGGTAATCTTCTTCGGGCGACCTGTAAAATTGGAGATGAAAAATCGAGTAAGAGATTAACGATTAAGATTCGAGAAACGGAAATAGACGACAGTTTATGAGTCACAGAATGCGACTGGGTGTTGACGAAACGATTTAATCAGCAAGTTCAAGCCGCATTGCGCAATATCCAGATTTTCGAACGCTCGCTTTTGACCTCTTTTTCGAGCAGACTTTACCGTTACGCGAACACAACCGTGAAATGATGATCCTTCCTTACCTTTACGATTCCTTTCTACCTTTCTCTGCGAACCGTTCGACGAAATGAAAATATCATTGATAAAAATACAGTAGTACCTCGGTATACGTCGTGCAACCTCATTAATGTAGGTATAATATTAATAGTTTATTTTTTTTACATGAGAACGAATTAATCATTTTTACATTACTTCTTATGGGAAAGGTTGGTTTGGTATAAGTCCAAACATCAGGAACGGATTAAGGTCGTATACCGAGGTACCACTAGTTGTTTAGTAACGAGAAACTGTTACAAGCTGTTTCTTCGATCTTCTCCAGTGATCGTTTCGCGAATACCGAAGCAATCCGGTGATAGAAGGAATTCCCATAGAGAAGTCTCGCGAAAGAAAACGTTTTAATCTCGCGAACATTCAACGATTGTACCGTTCTAACGGGTCAAAACTTCGTAAGTACGTGACGCGTGGGAGAAAAACACTGAAATCACACGCCGGGTGTTCTGAATCGGTAAAGATCTCTCGGTGTCCCTTTGATCCGGGAGAATAAGCATCGAAGAAGCGAGTTTCCCCGTTTTTATAGAATTCTAAGTAGAATTGGTCGGTGGTTCGTTGGACTCGGTTAACGAAGCAATTAGACTATTCCAGTCGGTACACGAACATCGTTCGACGATGGTCTCGCATTATTCATCTTCCTTGTCGTTACCACAAATGAAACAGCTACGAGTCGATAGAAACCTAATCCCTGACGTCTGACAAAGTAAAATCTTCAGAGAAGATGAAATAAAACGGATCCTTGATAGAATTGAAGTATCAAAGAGAGGAAGAATTGACGATGCAGCGGATAGGCAATCCAAACAGCCGAACGAGAGATCTTTAATTAACCAAGGCGGTGTTCAATTCCGCGTGCCTTTCGCCCTCTAATTTCGCATTCCCCGAGTAAAAAGGCAAAGGGGTTGTCGAGGGAGAGAATGGCTGGAAGGTATCGTGCGGTTATTTGCAGCCGATTCAGGCACGCCTGAAGATTGATTACAAGGCGTGCGGCAGTGCAGCCGTTGAGCGGTGCAGCAAATGCATTTCGCGTACGAAAGAGGAAAGGTAATGAGAGTGATTCTAGTCTTATAAAAGATTCAGATCCTTCGTGTTACTTTATTTATAAGCAATGAAACGTACAGTAGATGCAAATTTGGATATCAACTCGTTTGATATCGCGTGCTCGATGCAGTAGCTACCGAAGAATAACAGCCAGAGAAATGGCCGGCTCAATCGGGCTAGAAGATAAAGAAGAAAGGAAGAGAAGGCCGGTGTAATACCATTGGAAGTTTATTTAGCAGTTTTTCTCTTCGCCGAAGCCGGTTGTGCCGGTCTCGCCAGCTGATCCTTCGACTCCTTTATAATTCCGTGCCTGATATCGGGTATTAAAAACCGTTTTCTCCATTCAATTCCTTTGCCCGAGGTGGTAATGAATATGCAAGGAGGCTTGCCCTTTCCCGACGAGGATCTCTGCATTTTTCATGCCGATAAAAACCGATCTGCCCAGGTGTAACTAGAAAATTTCAACATTGTTAGCGAACAAACCATGGCAAACACCCTCGGCTCGTTTATTCTCCCATTCTAACAACGAATCGTACAAATCACCCTATTAATGGCAATGGTAAAAGGATGCAGAGATGTCACCGAAATGGCAGCTGGCTACAAGTTGAAACAACACAGTGAATCGGAGGAACGCTGTTTTCAAGATCATCCTGCAAAACCGCACACACTTGCATAAGGAACTTTCGTTGCAGGGGTCTGTTTCACGGTCGTTGAAAAAGCGGGTCAGTGTCGGGTGGAAGGTGGAAGGATGCACTTTCACCGCGCTTACCAGTGCTCCAGGTAATCGCAATTCAGTTTATGTAACACGAAAGCCACAGAATCGTCTATCTTTATTCTTTTATCACACCTGCAATAGAGAAATCACTCGGGAAACACTGTTCTAAATAATTGCATTATCTCGATATTAAAAAAAGAAATCGCTTTGGCGAGATAATTGCAGCGATTAAAGCGCGAAGGAATAGGAATACGATATTTAACGATTATTCCCGATAGGCAAATCGGCAATTATTCGTCTTAATGAAGGATCAACGACCTGGGTTAATCGCGGATTGTCAGCAACGTTTCCAGAGGCGTCTGTCTAATCGCGGGATTAGAAACTAGATTTTACAGGTGAAAAATTTCCTATCGAGAGGCTGGCAATCGGAGTCTTATCAAGCTTGACTAATTGATCGGTGCTCGTTGCTCGCTTCCTTATCCCTTCCCCTTAATCCACGCTGAACCGTGCTCGCTTAACTGGAATTATGCAAACGCCGACCTTACTCGCAAATCATCGAAGAACAAGCTAGGATGCTCGCGCGAGTCGAATCGTTGCGCAATGATTCAATGTCGGAACATCGATTATCGATGATGAAAGGTCGGCGAAATCTCCGTTATCGATTTTTAAACGATTCCATCGAAGAATCAAAGAATTTCTCTATATTTCTAATTTACCATGCCATTCGAAATAATTACTAGTCCCTCGTTAGCTTCGGACCGAAGGCACAGCAGATAAAATCAGCCATTTGCACCGGGAGCAAATTAAGACATACGTTTCTCCGAACTGTCCCATCTTGAATAATTTTACGGTGCTCATTAAATCGCTACACCCACGCCAAATTGAAAGCGGACCTGTGGTTTTCTCTCGAAAGATGGTTCTTTCTTTTTCGTTCATCTATCAGTATGGTGTATTCGTTATATGTACGTTATATGTAGAGAACGATGGACCGATACTGGATTACTTTAGAATCCATGCATCCTGGAGAATCGTGGCGCAACGATCGTTAGTTTGGAATCTCCTTTGGTGGTAGAGGGTCGGAATGGTAGATTTAAAAGAAATTCAACGAACAAGCGGTTTCGTGTAACCAAGATCCACGGATACGCCCTCCCTCGTGGATCCTATCCTCCTCCTTCTTCGTGGTCCTCCGTATCCTTGTCACGAAGCACGGTGTTGCGGTAGATCGTGTCCTTGAGCGGTACATCTCCAGCTCTTCCTCGGCGTTCTTTTATTTCCTTTCTTATGTTCCTTTTCTGCCGCCGTCGTTGGTGCACGGGTCTGTTCCGCTCGTAGCTCGCCTATTCCTGGCCACTCCATTTGCATCGGGCAACAAGAAGGCAAAGAAAATGGAAGGATAGAGAGAGAGAAATAGATGGCGGAGAAGCCGAGATCCGCTTAGACGGCTGAAAAAAATGGCGGAACACGAAAGCGAGCCGCTCGTGCATCGGTGAAGGAAGACAAAATGTCGCGGGGGAGAGGTTTTACATGGCCGTGGCTACATAATATCTCGTTGCCGTTCCCGGCTGCACGAATAGACCGGATGCTGCGTCCAATCGCGTCGCGTTGCTTAAAACTCCTCTCCGTCTTGAATTTGCAACCAGACTTTCCTACACCTTTCGAAACCATCTGATAAGAACGCGTTCCACGGTGGCTCGACTGTTTGCCATTTTTCACAACCGGCCTTCCAGTTTTATTATTTGCCGAGCTGATGGTAACCTTTGCTGCCGTTCGCAAATATCAAACTTTACACGCGTATATATACTGTTATACGCATACCGCACGCGTCCGCGATTTTTCTAATGGCACCTAGGCTTTCTTTTCTTCCCTCCGTTCGT